TTTGGAGTGTGATGACTTTTTGCTGTCTCATTCAAGTATTTTTCCACCCTGACAGAACTAATTTAGATAAAGCTTTTAAAAAAATCAGATATAAAAAAGGGCATAATTTCTGTTAGAGCATATGTTGTTAATTCTAGATTTGGAATAGTATTAAAGCCTGAAATTAGTCTCTCAATAGAAGTGTGTGTTTATGAGCGTTAAGAGATGGGAATCTTCTTTTTCTACATGTACTGTTTCCTGGCTGCGTGATCTCAAAGATGGCTTGTCACTGGCTGAACTTTTTAAATCTAAGATGGATTACTTTGAAAGTATTAAATCAAATCTGTAGAGATGCAAGAATTTTAATGTCTAGCTGTATGCACTGTATTTTTGTTCTGATACAAACAGGCGACAGAGCAGTGGATTGTAGTGCCAACAGGTATCATGGTGAGTGCTGTCAGATTAAAAACATGAGATTTTCATTAATTCTGAGATCACAGAATCATCAAATAGTTTGGGTTGGAAGGGACCTTAAAGACCATCGAGTTCCCCCCCCCTGCCATGGGGAGGGACGCCTCCCACTAGCCCAGGTTGCTCACAGCCTCATCCAGCCTGGCCTTGAACCCCTCCAGGGATGGGGCAACCCCAGAAAAAATACACCTGGGTTGTGCAGAACAGAATCTGACAGCACTTCAGTGGGTGCTTCCAGCCCTTATTGCTTGGAGAGGGTTCATGTGGAGCCGGAAGAAAACTCCCGCTGTGCTGCTGTGGGTTGTGATGAGCTTCTCTCTCTTTGGGGAGGAAGAGAGGGATGAACGTTTGCGGTGGGCCTCTGCAGCTGTCCCTCTTAAACCTGTTTTGAAAATGCTCTTTCCGAAGCATAACACTTAGGAAGTATCTCAGACAGTGCCATGTGTCCATGTGAGCTCAAACTGCCTTATGCCAGTCAGAGAAGAGAGAAGAAAACAGGATTTCTGGCAGAGCAGAAATAACTAGACTCTGGTTTCAAGCATTTCAGTCCAGATGCTGTCAGGTACTGTGTGTATGTGCCCTTACTATTTCCTGAGTCTTACGCGTTTAATCACCTTGGAGATGTGCTGAATTGATACGGCTTTTAGGAAGCACACTGTTGAAATCAGCTTTTCAGAATGTGATCAGTCTTTTTATTCACCTCTTTAACAAGGAGGGGTGTTTTCAGTTCTCCTCCTTTCCTCCGGGGTGTAATTGGCCTATAATGACTCTGTAATGAGCAGTGGAATGGAAGGGGGGGCATTGATTGTGCGTGCACCCAAATCTGCCCCAAGTTCCTAATGGAAGCGTTACAATTCCCTAGTGTCGGCTCCATTTCACTCAGTCTCGGCTTACAACCAAAGATGTAAAATAAGATTTAGCTATGGTGCTGTAAGCTGGGACTTCTTTGTGTTTGGATATGGAAGCAAATCCCCTGACTGCGTGCAGCAGAACCACCCTGCAAACCCAACAGGGTGCCTCGTGGATGATGTGAAGACGGAAACTGCTTCAGATGCTCTCCAGTGCTTAAGAGAGACATTTCTCTGAATCATCTGGTGTGCTGCGCTACTGTGGGCCCCTCCAACATGCACCCAACACCCGTGTCTGAGTAGAGAGCTCTCCACAAACCCCCAGGCCCTGGGGCACCCTGAAGATATACAAGTGACCTGGTGGTGCATTATCTGCCTTCCTTTCCAGCAGCAGCTGCCAGCCTCAGCTTCTCCTTGTGATTCTGCTGCTCCTTTGTTTTCAGCAGAGACTTTTCTTGGCCTTCCCCTTTACCTCTTTTCAAAACAGTTTCCTTTTCTGGCTTTCTGTTTTATCCTTTTCTCCACGTTGACTGCTTCTCCTTCCAACTCTCAGCATCCCTCAATAGGACATTGCTGCTCGTCCGTTTGCTCCGCAGGAACCCGAAGGCTTGCCTGGCGGAAGGTACTCCTTGGGTGCATCAGGAGGCTGCTGTAGCCCGCAGCTCTGGGCATTGGTACCATGTAAAATGCCAGCCCAGGAAGGCGGTGGTCTGGCTCTGCCTGCCCCAAAGAAACTATCTGCCCGCTGGCAGCGGGGGGAAGTTGTGATGACCTGCAGAACGGGGCTGTGCTCTGACACAGGCGTGGGGTCCCACAGCTCCCGGTGCAGGTGACAGAGCTGTGGTGCCAGTGCGGCAGAAGGACCCCTCTGTGTCTGACAGCTCTGCTCTCACCTCGGCTGTCCCACAGATCACGAGGTTCCACCCCTTGGAGGTTTTTTCCTGGACCCACAGTCACCAGTCAGCCATGGGCAAGGACCTGTCGCATCGAGGGCTCCTGCAAAGTCTTTCTGCTGATCTTGCCCCTTGGTGAAAAGGGATGGAGGGAGGTGGCTCTCAGTTTGTGCAAGCTGCCTCTCTGGAGTAGCTGGTGGAGCTTCAGGATCCGTGTTTCCTCCATCAGTGCCTCGTGTTGGATGCTGTCTGTGCTCAGCATGGGCAGAGGGCTCAGCTCCTTGCTGTCACTGGGAAATAGTGCGCCCAGGAACAGAAACGGCTCGTCGCTGTTTGGGGCTGTCGGCTGATGGGGGCTGGTGGTGGATGTGCACCGGCACACCGCTGTCATGGGTGGACAAGCGAGAGGAGAATGTGGCATGGCACTTGCAGAGGGGGAGAGCTTTCCTTGGGAAAGCTTTAAACCACACATGTGGGGCAGGGGGGTCCTGCAGGCCAGAAGGCCAAACTCAGGCTAGCCAGAAGGTCCCCCGGGCTGGACACTGTGGGGAGCAGAGGGTGGACTGTTTCATCTGCTGACATGCTCCTGTTGTGCCACGCGGCTTGCTCGAGAGGACGGCCACAGAGGGATGGGGTGGCAGAGGAGAGTGGGGTAGGAGGCTGTTTGGCCTAGCTGACTTGTCAAAGTCATTCTGCAGTGAAAGGTTAAAAACAAATACTCTCGCCACATGCTTTTTGCTGCTGGCTTAAAAATAATTGGAAAAATGCCTCCTGACTTTCCATTAAAGTTGACCCTATTTTGCAGGCTCTGGTAAGACTGAAGCAGCTGATGCTGTGTCAGCTCCTGGCAGTTCATGCTGTGTAGCTCCCGAACACTGTGCTCCCAATTTCCCTTTGAACAGCTCTCGAGAAATCACAGGGAGGATGTGACCATCTATGTGGCAAAGGGATTTTTCCTTCCTCAGTGACCAGGTAGGATAGCAGCCAGTCAAAATCAAAGCTCGTCTGCCCCTGCGCTGCCCGGTTACCACTTTGCATGGTCCTTGAGGATGGAAACCTCTTTCGTCTATCTCCCAGGGGAGAGCTGAGCAAGGTGAAGTGGAGAATGGAACCTCCATCCTCGTAAAGAGCCTTCGCTCAGCAAAGTTTGGCTCTTGCTTCCTGTCACCCTGGTTTTCCTTGGCGGGGGGAGAGCTGTACGGCACACCTCTGTGTGGCAGGCTGCCCACTGCTGGGGACACATAGATGCTGCCACAGGGCAGGCACAGAGGCTGCCGGGCTTTTCAAGGGAAATCCTGGGAAATGTCAGGGGGATTTTCCTCTTAGAGAGAGCCACAAGATGGAGCAAAATGATTCCAGGAGCTCCTGGGTTTGATGTCTCCCTCTTTCTATCTAAAAACAGCAACAAGAAAAGCTGTTAGAGGGACCCACCAGCAAGCTGGAAAAACCTGCTTCAGGACGTCATGGGGAACTGTAACACTGAATTTCAGTCTGCTGCTGTGCTTTTAACCTCAAATGGAGAGGTCTGTGCCAAAATTAGTGGCAATCTGAGTGAACTGACGAGTTTTGGTATCTTTCCTGTGGGTGTATCTTGGCATGTTTTTGAATCCAGCAGTAACTTAGCTGGTTTAAGACAAAAATCCGTGCGCTGTTCTGTGCAGCACTACCCACAGTTTTCACTTATAGCCTAACAGAAATCAGATCAAGCGTGTCGGTTATCAGTTTGTGACTTCCCATGTTCCCCAGGTCCGCGTTTGTGTTTGTTTTAATGTGTGGGAACGCGCGTGGTGTTTCCTGCCTCTGCATTTTGTGCGTTAGGGGCCACTGGTGGTCCACAGGCCATCAGATAGGAAACACTGTTCTAGATAAGCAGCTCACAGCCCTTACTTAAGTTGGCCTAATTACTGTCACCTCGTCTGGTCTGACACCCTTGGGGCCTCGCCTCCTGCCAGCTGCCCCACATCTCGCTGGGAGCTGTGGGGCTGTGCCCCCCCAGGGACTGCAGGTCCCCTGGTTGCCTGTGCCCGGCTGGACTTTGCCTCACCAGCCCGCAGGACTTTGGCAACTGGAAGTTGATGGTCATTGCGCTACGTAGTAGAAAAACTGTTTTTTATCAGCGCACAGAGCGCTGGGCTTCAGCAGGGTTGAAATGAGTTGTTGATGCTGAAGGTTATTGTATGAATTGGGAATGCCTGCAGAAAGCAAAGGTGGATGGATCCAAACTTGCTGTGTGCAGTTGTGGCTGCTTTATTGCTGCCTTTGGTTTGTTTTACTCACATTTTCCAGGCCACGCAGGGGGACTCAAATGGAATTCAAAGAACAGAGCTGCTTGTCAAATCTCTCTTGCTTCTGCTTCTCCAACTTTTTGTGTCCTTTTGGGGTTTGTATTGAGATGCTGGCAAGTCTTAATTGGTGCAGAGAGGTGTTAGGAGTACAACCTGTTTTCTCCTCAGGCTGTTCGAGTTTTTCCCTGCAGATAGCACCCTGCTTCAAGAGGAGACTGGTCCCCATGCTTTGACAAAAGAGTTTTATTTCTTCCTTCTCAGTTTTAATTTCTTGCCTGGGGGAAGACTAGTCTTGGGAGCCTGAAAAAGCACAAAATGCCAAATAATTTTGTCTAGAAAACTGTCTTGCATGAAGTAGTTGTCATCAGTGAGATACTGGGCCTTCTGGATGTGGAGTGTTGCCCAGAGCATTGCTGGAATATTGCTCCCAGGGTGTCCTCAAGCTTTTCTCCAAGGATGTTTGCTGGGGGGACCTCTGCGCTAAGCCGTGCCCACCCAAACGCTAGCTGCAATGCTCGGGCCTTGTGGATCGTGTTAACCTCCCTTGTGTTTTTATTTTTACAGAGCTGACCCTGAACCCCCCAGAAGGGATAGTAGCAGGTGAGGAGCTGAGCGGGGTTTGTGTGCTGTGAAGTTGGAGCCTTGTGTTCAGGTAGCACTGAGCATTGTTTGTTTTTTTTTTCTTAATAGGTCCCATGAATGAAGAGAACTTCTTTGAATGGGAAGCTCTGATTATGTGAGTTAATAGTGTTTTGTATCTGAAATCAGCACTTGCATGCTATGATTAGCTTCCGGCAGAACACGAATGTAAAAAAATAATGCCAGTTCTGCATACCATCGACCTTGGCCTGCCTTCGGGTGGGCGCTTCTTTTCTGACCCAAACAGGGAATTATATTTGAAATTTAAACAGTGTGACAGGCAGCATTGGGACTTAAGTGATCAGGTGTTATTATAATAAGCAACATTCAGCATAAGTAACTTGCAAATTTGACAGGAATCCTCATTGGGGCTCCCTCGCATATATGTTGCATATACAAACACTGTAGGAAACAATGAATTGCTTGGAGATCACACAAGCCTGTTGGGAACATTACTCGACTGCAAACACAGAACAGGTTTTTGTCATGTTTTGAGTGGAGCAAAATACACAGATTATCAGCGATAAGAGAAAAAAAATCAATGTCTAAAATTAGTTTACTTTTCATTTTTTTTTTCTAGAAAAATGGAAGGGGATTAATCTGAGGAAGTATTCAAATTTAAAAAGAATTCTTTTGAAATTCTTTACACTTTGTGAGTTGGCTGGTGTTTTACAGACCTCGGGTGCAGTGGTTCTGTGTAGAAAGCTCCTCTGTTGGTGAATAGCTCTGATCACTACCTGTTGTGTTTTCGGGGGTGAGAAAGACTTCTTTACAGAGCTGTGTCCTCCCCCTTCCACTCCCGAACTGATGGGTACGGTTGTTTGTAGCAAAACTTACCATGAAAAGACAAAAATCTTCTTGCCCAGCATCTTACAAGTTTTCTTCTCTTGTACTCTCTTTTCTCATGCTGTACCCTTCTTTGGGAACTTTGAGTACATGGAATAACTGGTGATTTTTACAAAATAAAGTTCTAAAACAGTAGGGGAGAGGAACAGAGACCTATGTTACTCAGCTCTGACAATTCATGCAAACGCCACAGAATTAAAAGATGAAGAAGCCCCAAACCGCCAAGTCTGTCTTGAAGATGACAGTCTGTCGTTAGGGCAGATCCGTGCTCTGTATTTCAAGATTCCTTTAGTAAGAGTTGGTGATTTCCTTCCCTTCAGCCAGGGCCTGGGGTCTGCTGACCCCAGAGGACACCGGGGTCAGCAGGCGGTGGCGCTGGCCCCGGCCCCGCTTGCAGCATGCCTCCTGTGCTCTTGGCAACCACCAGTGCTGCAACCACCAGTGCTGACTTAGGAGATTCTGAGCTAGCGTGGGTGGCAGCATTTTCCTAGCTCGGTTTGCTTTGAGTGTGTTGTCTAGGGATGAGAAATGAGATTCTTTCTCTGGGGATCAGGCACGCAACCAATACAAAAGCATCCTGAGCTGTAGCGTCTCGCCTATGCCACGCAAGCTGGCTGCGTGGGTGATCCTACTTTAGGGCAAGTAGGAACCTCCAAGTTATTTTAGGCCTTGGTAACTGGAGGTTTGGGTTACCACTGCTTGTTTGCTGATTGATCTGAAGAGCTGGCAGATGCCTCTACTTCTGTGCAGCAATTTATCCTGTGATGAACAGGTTGTACTTCCTGGTAGCTCCATCCCCTAATAACACTTCACATGGAAATAGGTCATTTGTTGCCTGATGTCAAAAGATTTTGGCTGCAGTGTCTTATGCTTTCTCTTTCTGCAAGTGGGATGGTTATCTTCTGAAAGATGCACTTTGTAATGCACCACGTTTCAGTTCAGACAGCTGTGCATTGCTTGGAGTGTGGAAATCCCAGAAGGTTTAATGTACTTCTTGGAATGTGGAAGGAAATTCCTGGCTATCAGTACTTTCTCATAGCAAAGGTTGTGTGGTTGAGTAGAGCTTTCATGGGGGACACACAGAAGTACTTTTGGATGTGCTTCGTTACAGAGAAAATACTTTTTCTGATGTTTCCCGTAACAAATTCTTAAACAGCAGAGGAGGTGCTTGCAGACTTGAAAGCCCTTGAAAGTGCTGAGTGTTGAGCTTCAGGTCTTTGTCAGCACAAAATGAGAGGCGGAGGTTCTTTAATTTTGGTTTCTGTATTGTGTGTGTGTCATAACAAAATTATATTTTAAGATCTGCTAAATTCTGAAGCTGTGGTACAATAGAAGCATGTTTACCCTAAACATGTTTGGTTACTTTCATCTCTTTACAAAACTCTATTGGTAGAAGTGTTTGTATATATTTGGAAGGCAAGCTAAGTGACTTATTTATATTTGTCTCTGATAATCTTCTCGAATGTTTTGTAATCTCAAATGTTCTGTGTGAGGTTCTGGGAATGAAAGAAGTGCAGATGAGGAAATTAAAGTGAAGTTGGCTTCAAATTTTTAGACAGATGAAGTGCAAAAGGTAAGTAAGTAGTGTGAACATGAAGAGAACATAATACTCTTTTTTTCCTTCACCCAGTTTGTGTAAAGCTGGAGCACATGTAATAAATTAAAAAAGAGACCTAAGAGAGAAAAGACATTGCCCATTTATCATTTCAGAGGTGGGCTGGGTAGTGTTACACAGATTGATGTAAGAGCTTGGCTCGGAGATAAAATATTGTCTTTTAGAATAATGGTAATAATAATTTGTATTTCCCGTGTTCTTGCCTGCAGCAGCAGTGCTGGCTGAATGTTAAACACATAAACGTTAGGGCTGTATTGACATGTCTGAATGATACAACAGTTCTTACACTCCTGAGTGCAATAGACTCAGAACTGAAAATACTTCGTGGTGATCTTTCTGAACAGTGGATGCTTGGAGCCTGGCATAAAGTGCACCCTTTTGATAAGACATCAGACAGCAGCTGAATTAAGAGTATTTATAAAAGCCAAATCTTTGCAACAGGGTGACTTATTCGTGATGGTAAATAGCCCCAGCACGTCAGGAGAGTTTACCGTAATGCCGCTCAGTTCCGCAGCACTGCGTGAGGTCCTGTGGTGCATTGTGCTGTGCACGTTCATGAATTTAACATTTCAAGACCAAGTTTTGCCCTCTTTGGGCAACAAGCGTGTGTTGCTATTGAAGTTTATCCCCAAAACACACAAAGCCACGTAATTCTCAAGAATTTTATTAGCCTAAAGATTGCTTGAAAACTAAACAGTATACATTGAAGTCAATTTATCAAAAACCTGTGTAGAAAGGTAATTAGCTCTATAATTAGGCTTATGACTTTTGTTTAGCATGGAATTCCCCTTTTCAGCATCTGAAGACTGTGGCTTTTGGTCTTCTTCCAGCATCTTTACAAATAAGAAGGCAGTTACAATTGTGCATGAAGCTCTGATTATAGAATTAATTGTCCTTGTCAATGCGCTTTTCCCTCTTGTTTTGGCAGATACCCACCATCCTTTTCTTCCCCTTGCTTGCGTAATAGCCAGCAGAGTTTCTTCTTTTCATGCTATGTCTTATGTCAACAGAGTTGTTCATAACGTCTCTCACACAACTGAACAGCCTGGTTGTCTAGCAAGTCATTTAATGCCTTATAATGGCCAGAGGAGAACTCATCTCCACTCCTCGATGCTTTAGGGACGTCTGTAGAGTAGCATCATGCATGGAAAAAGATGCAGAGACTGCCTGCTTTAGATGGAGCAGGTTTAACACAAGGTTTTTCTTCAAGCTCTGTGCCTCAGACCTGTGCAGAATGAGTGCCTTCTGTGTGCGCATTGTTAGTGATGGGACTGCTCTGGGGTATGGGAGCTGCTGAAGGCAACCGGCCAGTTGGCTCGGTGCTCTTCGCTCCAGGGGACGGCTATCACCGCTACATGGGCTGGGTGTTGCTCAGAGGAATGAACCCTAATCGAGTACTGGGTTAGTCTGGACTTCAACTAGCGCAGCAGCTCAGGTGAGATCCCGGCACAAGGCGCATCGGCTGTGAACGTGGCGTGCTTTGAAATCTCTGCAGAAAAGACAGCGGGATTGCAAAAGGTGTCATGCTCTTCACCGCGCTGGCCTTTTGGAACTGAAAATGATGCTGTCAAGTTTAAATGTTGCAGCCTCCTGAGTGTTTTGTAGTTGCAAATGCTGTCTTGGATTAACTTGAATGATTTCTTTGAAGTTGATCCTGGCAGCAATGAATGGCTAAAACAAAAGCGTTTTGCTCACATAATACAGGGCCTAAAATGGATCGCATTGGGTTAACGCGTTTGACAGAAGAGCCCTTAAGGCTGTGTGTTTGCTCTCAAAACAGAATATGAAACACCCACCAGCTTTTCAATGTGTGTATGTACATACTCTTAGAAGTTCAACAATAAGCCTTTAAAATACAGCTGGAATTAAAATGTTCGTGGAAAAGTGTATTCAGTTGACTCTCAGATGTGAGTTGAATCCCGACTAAATTTAGGGAACAAAGTGGTTGAGGTGGTTTAGCTTTCATTCTTGTAGGATGTTGATGCATTTCTCTAATCTTACCTGCCAGCGTCAATATTCAGGTTTAAATCATGTAGTTCTTGGTTTATCTACCAGCCAAGTCTTTTGAATTCCAAAGTTTAAGAGAGTGAGCCTCCGAGGGCTTGAAGTTTTGCTGGCTTCAATTTTATTTTTCTGTAGGTTACCCATTGCAGTCTCAGCTGTTAGGAGTCCTTGAACTTTATGTTCTTTCTGGCATGGAGAATATGGATTGGGAGGAGGAGGCATGAATATATTCTTAAACCTTATTTCCCAGTATAACCCAGACAGTATAACCCTTGTTTGAAGAGCTTTTTACTAAATGCATGAGGTTTCCTTGGCTGAGATTTTCAGTGATGAAGCTTGTTTCATGATCTTTCCAATCAAGGGAGACCATGTTTGTGTTAAAACTTCCAGATGGCTCATCAGATTTGAATAAATCATGTCTAAGGAACTTTTTTGCTCCCCTCCCAAAAATGTTTTCTGTAGGAAGGGTAAAATAGTTGTCTTTATATTCTGAACTACATTGTACTTTGAACTAGATGATGAACACAATAAGGAAATGTTTCTACAAGAACCCTGATGAAGCCATTTGTTCTCCAGTTGTGCTGGAGGGACTGCAAACCAAATAGCTTCAGTCTGTAAAGAAACGTTGTCCAGCGTCTAGCGATTGTGGTCCCTGAGCTGTTTTTATTTTTACAAAACACTGCTGTGTTTTTTGCATCAGATAGTGAGAAGTGTTTATGTGTGGTTATGCTCGATACTGGCAGTTTGAATCTCTGTAGGTTTTATAAATTATTTTTGAGCTACAGCATCTGACATCTCTGTTTATGAAGCACAACAGGATCTTCAAAGGCACAGGAGTCCCACACCTGCCTCTGCTTTCTCTTGACATGCAGACACTCAAATCCTGGAACATGCCTGGGAGCCAGATACTCCAATTATATCCAAACACACCCTGTTAATTAAGCAGTGTTGTGACCTTCCTAATAATTTGGTGTGCAAGCTTTGATTTCCCCCTTCCCTCCCAAACCCCGTATTTGGATTTAAGTTTATGAGGTGTGGGGTAAGAGTGCGTTAACACTTTGTTTTCTGGAGAAGACAATATAACCCAAACCTCAAATGTCTCATTACACACGAATATGGGTGATAGAACTGTTTAAAACTCTGGTGAATAGCTTTTTCTCTGTTTCTAGGGGTCCTGAAGACACCTGTTTTGAGTATGGGGTTTTCCCTGCTATTCTGAGCTTTCCACTCGACTACCCGTTAAGTCCTCCGAAGATGAGGTTCACGTGCGAGATGTTCCATCCGAACAGTGAGTCTTATACAGCAGGACGTACGGGGAGTGGGTTGCTTGTGCACCTTAAAACCAAACTTTTGCAGCAGGAGAGTGGTTCTCTCCCTTTCCAGCCTTGAGCATGCAGCAGGAGCATTCAGCTGTCCAGCAGTTTTGCTCTGACTTAAGGTTTATCGCATTATTCCTCATATACCTTTTGGTCATAAACCATCCAATAAAGATTTCAACAGTTTAACTGCCTTTAAGATCGTTCCAGGATAATTGTAGCTATTGTATAAATAGTCTAAAGTTAAATCTTCTCTATGTGATGTGAGATTTATTGAATTAATACTGACTCTTTCCAGTCTGGCTCTGTGGCTTGTATTTAAGTAGTCTGGTGGGGTTTTTTTGACGAGTGAAAATTTGTTCATAGTCACTGAAGTGTGGATGCAGCTTTACCAGGCAGCATGGCCTTTTCCCTGTTAACTCACGGGTTTAGTAACGTTTCTGATAGGATCTTTCTGAAATACAGGGTGCCATGTCCAAGCAGGTGATACATTTGCAGGCATTTAATATTAAGACTTTGCTGGCCTTTTCGCTGAAGATTCTGATGGTGACAATATTATCTTAAGACTTCTCAGTGGAAGTCATTGAAGTAACAACAAGTACAGCTAACAAGTTTGAGCCTTGGACAGGTAAAAACCTTAAAGTCCCCTTTTGCAGCCTGGAGCACTACTTTCTGGAGTCAGCCTTGGCATTCTGTGTAAAATTATTGCTTATGACATCTGCTAAATCAGCATGAATTGTGTAAAGATTGTTTATCATCGCCCGGATTCAATGGGCTGGGTCTGTATTCTAGGCTATTAAGTCTCTGCCACTTGAGAGCAATAAAAGGAACATGCCGCCCTCCTGCCTAGTGTTTCCTTCCCAGCTGACATTCCTGCACATACAAACCACAGATCTTAATCTCAGCTGGGAATCAACTTATTTCATCCTCTTCCAAGGAATTTTGCAATTTCTTGAAGTTCTGTTCTTCCCTTCTCAAGGCACCATTGATGCAGGTTCTTGCCCTAAAATCCACATCTTTCTGTTCTCCTGTGGAAGACACACCTGCACGTCGCAGCGTAGAACTGTGCTACTCTACCCTGGGCATGTCTGCAGCACCTCTGAAGCTCTGATGTCTGCAGCAGTGCAGCGTTTGGCACCTGGAAGCAGCATGGCCTCATCGGCACCTTGCTCCGGCTGGACTGATTCACCCAAACTTCTTTGCAGGACTGGTCTCCGTCAGCAGATCCATGTCCTCTGCAGCTCCAGTTGTGGCCTTTGCTTGAGGTTTGCTGCTCACGGCTACTTTGTGTGCAGCACAGCCAGGAGTGGACTGCTGCCTGACTGTCGTGTTACAGAGCGGCTCTACACATGGGTGCTTCCTCTGTGGAGTTAACTGGAACATACTGGATGGTCAGCTCAGCTCTTTAAAGTCCTGTGACTGGGTCATGTTAATCTAAAGTTGAGACCCCCTAAAGTAGACACTTGAATCCTTCTTCTCAGGTGGGATTGTGATGGTCTGATTATACCCGGAAAGGCTGTAGAAATGGGTGGCTGTGGTGTGTTTGTTCTGTTCCTTAAGGTGCTTACCTCTCCACCTGTGAGGAATCGCAAGGAAAATGTTTAAAAAGTCTGCTGTGTTCTCTTATCTTTGCAGTTTGTGTTATGTACAGGAGGAATTGAGATACCACAGAACTGTCTTCTCTTAAAATGACATTCATGGATGGTCTGGCGAAGATAACCTCAAAGTAGGGTGATTAATGGCAAGTCTTGCATTAGCACTTAGTGACAAAGTGGGAAGATGTGTACGTCTTCCTGGAGTCAGCCTTCATTGTCTTGACTGTGCTGCTGTGGTCCAGCTGTCTTAAAAGAGGCACTGCATAAAAACATCAGAGTGAAATCCCTTCTACCGGTGTGTTCCTAACTTGCAAGGAGAAGTGCTGATTCAGCACGTACTGTTTTCATCTCTTCCAGCTATGGCTAGACCAGCTCCAGTCCCCAGCCTGGAGCTGCAGGAGCAGGTGTAAATGAAAGTCTTCCAACGCACTGACGTGCTGCAGGCTTGTGCAGACATTAGCTGGGTGAACAGCAGGAGTGGGAAATGAGCACAACTGCTTCCAGCAGTCATTCCCTTGTTTTGTTTTGTTTTGTTTTGTTTTCCTGGCAATGGCACAGGTTTGGTCACCTGAGGAACAGGAGCCCTGAAACTACTGGGCTAAAAGTGTCATTCCCTGGGGGGGCTGAAGAATTAGGCCATGTTGCTAAAGCAGTGATTCGGACTCTGTTCTCTTTGTGTTGCCTCTTCAGCCTTTCTGTGGCTTAATTATCAATCAGTGGAGTCCGGTGTCTGTGAAGATGACTTGTACTGTGGCAGATGCTTTGCTTAGGCTAAAGGTGGGAGGGGAAGACATCTGTATCCTTAATTGATAGGTTACCGTGTTTCCATGTGCTTTCATGTAGCTGAGCTTTAAGCAAAATTTAAAAAGCAGTGTGAACTCTCCTGGTTGCACTTCAGTAATGTTCCAAATAAGACCAATTATATTGTTTATAACATAACACTTTGCCCTCCTTGCTGCAGCAGAACAGGTTTGCTTCATTCTTTTTATGGGCATGGTCCAGCGGAGGACTCCAGCGTGCATTCAGTGACTGGTACCCTTCGATTTAAGTAGGCCTGGTTACCTACTAGGAGCTGTGTCTGTGCATAAATACTTGCCTTGTTCCACCAGGCTACATCTCTTATTTTTTCCATGGAGCCTGTCACTAGTTATTAAATGACAAGAGGGCTCCCAGGAGGCTTCTGTTCAGGAAGGATGACCCAAGTTTGTTAGAGTTGCGTAAAGGAAATTGTTACTAGATTTTTATCTTTCAGGTCATGTGTCCTCTTGCCTTTGGAAGAGGAAATGTAAAACTGGGTTTAGCTTTAGTCATACGAAGGCCAAGTTCAAGCATTCATCTGTGCTAAAGATGTGGAGAAGCCAAGTGTTTCCACTGAGTAACAGTCAATCCCTTGTCCTTCTTGTGCAGTTTACCCAGATGGGAGAGTTTGCATCTCTATTCTTCATGCTCCTGGGGATGATCCCATGGGATATGAGAGCAGCGCTGAGCGGTGGAGTCCTGTGCAGAGTGTGGAAAAGATCCTCTTGTCGGTTGTTAGCATGCTGGCAGGTAAGGACCGCTGTTTCATTAGCAGAAGCTCAGATAGCAGTTACTGGGTTAGCTAGAGCTGCTTCTTGCAGTTTGATTTGTTAAGTGAGCAAAGGACGTTTAAAGATGCTCAGCAGCAACCACAGTTTTTAAAGCCCTGATGTTTATTCATTAATAAGCTGGTTCTCTGAAAATAATTGGAAAAAAAAAAAAAAGACTGAATAAGTAAGCAGGTGTTTCCAGCTTTGCGAGTGACTGCACTGCTTTCCTTCCTGGTCAGCAGCAGCCAAGCAGATGGCGATTGTCAGGTGGGTCTGGAGGCTCAGCTGGTTCCCTGCTCCTGCACAAAACCTGTGCTCTGTGTTTGCTTTGATGTCTGTTCAGCTCTTGCAGGTCTTAAAAGCTATTGATTGCAGCCTGGGTTGGATTTCGCTTTAGCAGCTGAAGGGTTACCAGCCAGATCTAACCAGTGCAGTAAACTGGAGTCCATGGACTCTGACACTCACTAGCCAGCACCCTCCATTTCTGTTTATTATATTCCAGCCTGGGAACATACCCCGTTCTGCCGTCTCTGGTTCAGAGGAAGGCTTCTTGAGAAGAGACGTGGGGTGAAAAACTTTTTGTGCAGCCTTTTAAATGGCTTTCCCTAAACCCTGCAAGAGCTGTGGATCAGCTCTGTTGTGTACAGCTCCCTGAAAGATGGATCCTTCTCCACGTAGTGGGCAGAGCCTCTGAACAGCCTGGAAAGGCCAGAGCTGTGTCCCTTAGATTTTGAATGATAAAAGACTTCAGACGGTTTAGAGGGTTTAGAATCAGCGAGAGAGAGAGCAAGCAACAGATTCTTACATGGGACTGTTTTGGCTTCAGAATAGTAACCAACTCTTGGGAAGCTGTGCAAACAGTACGTTGCTGGGCTTCCCGTGGCCTCCAGGAACTTGGTTTGTGGTGCAGCCTTAGCAAGACTGGTTATCGTGAGAGTCACCCAGTCTCTCTTGGTCTCTGCCTGTGCATCCTGTTTTCCCATGGCTTGTGGAGGAATTAGTGTAAAACATGAATGGTGAGCTTCTTTCAGGCTGCTGGCAAGCTCTCGGCTCTGGCTGTGCGGATAGCATAAGGCCAAGGTTACCAGACTGGGTGACGTGTACATCGACTGGCTTTTAAGAGTGAACCATCAGCATTGTCTTGAGAAAGACGAGAGCCCAACATATCTGGGGTGGATTTGGGCTAGTGGGTGAAGCAAAATGAGTAGGGTACGTTCTATCTTAGGGACTTCAGTAATCCCATGACAGTTGTCCTGCTGTATACTGACCTCGAACCTGATAAATCCCATGTTTCACCTTACCTCTGTGCAAAATGAAGTGTTGGAGTCACAGGGGCTTAATGTACTTTAGTAAAGCGCTCTGAAATCCTCAGGTGAAAGATGTTGCAGAAATGAAAGCATTCTATGAGTTTTCTTGGTTTATTTTGTTGTTTTTTTAATAGAATAAGCCATCCCAAAGAGGGACAGAGCCTGTTTGGGTGGCCTGGTCGGGAGGGCTTTGTGTCTGTGAAGCCGCAGAACCGGGAAAAATATTTTGCAGGGAGCAGTGTGCATTTCTAAAAACCCTTGACGGCACTGTGCTGCGTTGCGTTGTTCTGTGCGCATGCCGGGGCTGAGCTGTTGAGAAGCATAAAGAAAATCTTGCTCCTCTGACACTTGTTTCTTACCTAAACTTGACCTTACTGTGATTCTCTTGTGCTCAGTTAAATCAGAACCATTTGGGAATCCAGCAACTGTTGTTGGATTTTCTTTAGTGGTGTTTCTGTAGTCCCAAAGCCACAGGGAAGTGACAGCACAGAGGCATTATTGAAGAAGTGTTTGCTCCATTGAAAAGCATTATTTCTATTGAAAAGGTCTTGCTCCATTGCTTGCCTGACCACCTACCTTCCGGTCTTTCTCATTTCAGAGCCAAATGATGAAAGTGGAGCCAATGTAGATGCTTCCAAGATGTGGCGGGAAGACAGAGAACAATTTAACAAAATTGCCAAGCAGATTGTGCAGAAGTCACTTGGACTTTAAGCTTACAAAGAGACTGAAGTGTTTTGTATTTCTCTCCACCTGAAAATGAGCAGTGCTCAGTGCTGGTACCAAAAAGGAAAACTTTGCAAAACTATTGGCCTAATTCTTATCATTCATTATTTATTTACCATCTCTTTTCTTCTTCCACTGCTCCAGAGAAGCCTCTAGTTCACTCACTAAAATATGTGGAAAAGGGATTTAATACTAGGGAAAAATATGGAGACAATGCTGTTTCAAAGGCTGCTTGTTGCTACCTCACTTCATGGTAAGGAAAGCTTGGAGACTTTGCAGTCCGCAGCCTGCCTTTGCCAGTCCACTGTTTGAGAACAGAGCTGGTTTGCATTGCCTGCGGGAAGAATTAGCTGTTTGTTTTTATAGGTAGCATTGCATCTGGAGCACCAGTAGACAGGAAGTAATCTATCGATTTTATGATACTGGCCAAGGTAAGGACAGCATTTACAGTCAGAACTGATTTGAAGAGTATAGTTAGCGAGAGAGGTTATAAGACAAGATTATAGTCCGGATGCGTCAGTAAAGAAAGTGATTGTGCAGCAGGTAACTTTAGGAGAAGATCTAGGGAATTGTTATCGGTGACTGGCTGGGGGTCTAGAATGGGCTGGTGTTCCCACGTAACACTGTGAGTTTGTATTGAGCCTTCGAGTCAGTGTTTGCTTGGAAGAAATCCCAAGAGATGCTTTCTTGCTCCTTAAAGACACTCAGTTGTAAACTTGACATCCAGTTGGAAGTGCAAGATGTAAAGACTGGATTCTTAAACACTTTGGTCAGGTTCACTGTGGATAAGGTAGGTCATCGGCAACCTGAAAATCCAGTGAGAGTGTGTCTGCTCCGCTGGGCGTGTGAAATATTTCTGCAATAACACCAGCTCCTCTTCTGCTGCCATTTGAGTGTCGAGAGGATGAGGCACTGCTGGCCTTTGCCGTTACAGCCCAGGTCACCTGTTTTTCAGATGAACAAGCGAAGATGAATTTTGTAAAATTAACTGTAACACTTGTGTGTGCTGACTGCTCTTGTATATTTAAACATGAATCGGCGAAGACGCCGACTGCGTTTTCTAGAGGATGGTACGATGCCTGTTTAGAGCTGTGGAGTATTGTAACCAACCTCTGGTGTGGAGGGTGTGGGAAATACCGACTGCAGCCATCAGGTTGTAGAACTGCTTAGGGGCCACTGCTGACCTTTGTGCTTTGCAAGCAAATCTCTTGTATAGGTCCAAATGTTCTCCAATTTACTACAAGCAATAACATGCCCATTCATAGCACATGAAATCAAATCTCGTTGGCAGCTTTAAATGGGGCTATAAGTTGAGAAGGGCTTGCTTTTTTTATCTTGAGAAAAATGTGTGACATGGAAGGAGTTGCTCCTTGGAGAAAGCTTTACGGAGGTGATGTGTGCATGCTTGTGTGTACGACTTGTCAGTATTTATGTCTTGCTGTCCGTGTTGCATATTCCCGTGCTGCAGATCACAGTATGCCAGTGTTCAGCACCTCTGAAGAGTTCGTATTGCTAGAACTTGCTGATTTTACCTCCTTGTAGAAGTAATTCTTGCTTTGGTGTAAGGGTGGCAGAGGGACCCCAAATAGTTTGGGAGCAAAGATGATGAGATAGTATTGTACCTAACTAGTATTTCAAGGCGTACAGGAAAATGTAGCACTTATATGCAAACTGAGAGCATTTTTTGAGTTGTAGTAGATGGAGCGTTGCTCCTGGGAGTACCGCAGCCGCTTTTGGAAACAACGCTGGAGCCCTGGGAGTGCTGCGTGGCAAATGATGGATTTGGCAGACATGGCGAAAGTGTGCTCTTTTTAAGTGCAGAGTATTTTATTCGTGTGTGTTCACTCATTATTTTATGGTGGGATTTAGTCTGTATGCTGAAAATAAAGTGATTATATTTTCTCCTTTCGCAGATGTGTGCAGATGTGTTGCAGTGGGTGTTTTTTATGGGAAGCCAGCTGGTCAAGAGAGTCCAATTCTGACTTGGTCCAAAGAAGTGGAAGGGTTTATTCTAACGTGGTTAAAACATGGGATGCTTTAGAGGAGTGGAGGAGTTGGCACAGTTGCTTAGGCTTTCCAGGCAAGTGTCTTGTCTCTGATGACAGCAATAATAGTAGATAACTCAAAGAAAACTGAAAATCTGGCAGCCAGCAAATGTGTTGTAGTTTGCTTCTTACAAAGGTCTTGTGATGATCTACGTGTTTGGCCTAGGAAGGGCTCTTATATCAACAGGTGAATTGGGAGTTCTAATAATATCATTCCAAAGCTGCTGATATTAGCTCTTGGATCTGAGAAGGACAATTAGGTGTCCTATTCCTACTGAGAATTTCTATAGTTGCCAAACCTCTGTTGCTTAGAAAGAAAATAATTTCTTTTTTTAAGTGACTGGCATGCAGTGGGCTTGCTGACTTGGGTGTTTTAAGCCACCCAGTGAACATATAAACCAGGTAGCCTTGCAGGACATACCTGTGCAGAGGCGGGTGGGCTCCTGCCATGCCTGGCTTGCCCCAGGAGGGTTTCGGCACACAGGCAGCTTTTTACAACTGGGGAACACCCGAGAGTTAAAGCTCATAAAGCTGCTGTGTCGATCCTGTGATAGACTTCCCTGAAAGGCTTAATCCTCTCCCTTGTGAAAGAATCCTCCTGTTGGCAGCGTGTGTAATACTAGCCAGTAGGAATGCTTTTCTGAGCAGTTGCCTTTTTGCAGTCTGAAACAGTTACTATAAAACATGTTCCTCGGGGAGTGTCAGAGCTCTACAGCTGTTACGCATGCAGGTAAAGTATTAAAGATTAAAAAAAAAAAAACAAACCCAGCCCTTTCTCTGGATTATATTTGCTTTAGGCTTTTATATTCAAACAAAACAAAACCTTTCAACAAAGCTGTAAAAATGCAAGCAACGTCCTCTTTAAAGCCTTTGTATACACTTACATACACACACGCATGCTTGTTTTTTCTTCTTGGCAAATGGGGCTGTGTCAGAACACACACAGTGGGATGCAAGACATTCATTAATTGTGTTTTGTGTGCCTGGGCGCATGCAAGCGGTTCTTTGAAAGTGCGAGCTGCCGGGCGTGAGGCGTTGGAGCCACATGAAACGGCTGCAGCTTCGGGGCAGAGCCAGCCCCAGGCTTCTTTCCAAATTTTTTTTTTTTTTTTTCTGTGGCTTGAGCTATATCATGACTGGAGGGCGGTGTGCTGCCTTTAAGATGAAATAGTGAAAGCTCTGCATCTCTGGAAGCTCCTTGCCTTCCTCCGGAAGTTGTGTCTTGGTGAGGATGCTGTGTGTGTTACCCTGATGAGAATCAAAAGGAGAAACACCTCCTCTGTCAGCACAGACCCGAAATGTCTGTCCCCAGCCATGCTGCGGATACCACGCTCATCTCGGGTGTGGGATCAGTGCAGCTCTTAGGAGGTATCTCCAGAAAGGGGTTGGGAGCGGCAGCCTCCCCAGCCCCACGGCATGGGGCAAGGGCCGTGTGTGCTGGCTGCGTAGCGGCTGGGCACGGAGGTGTGAGTGTGGGAGATCTCCACGCTGCCTTCGCAAGAACCAGCACTGGTTACCTGCCTCGTGTTCCTTCTCTTCCAAATTTCCCTGACTCGGTGGAAGAAGAAAATCCCTCTGTCTGTCAGCAAAGCTCAGGGGCTGGGGCGAGAGTGGGGTGAGGGATGCTGAGGGTCTTGCTGCCAGCTGGTGGAATACTTGGGGTGGCACGGGGAAGGTGCAGGAATCTGGGGAATTCCTTCAGTCTCTGAAGTTCTGGTTGGGATGAGCTGCCCCCCTCTTGTGTGCTGCTTCAACAGCAAGGTGACCGAGCTGCTGCACCAGCCCCAGCCTCGTCCCACCTGTGTCACGAGTGCCAGAAGCACCGTTGGGGTCACACAGGCAGCTGTGGTCATGCAAGGCTCTCTGATGCTGCCAGGATGAAACCCAGCACCAGGGAGGGAATTGCTCAAGCCACTTCATGCTTGGTGGTCCTGTGTAATGTCCTCAGTGCTGTTGTGGTCCTCGAGGATCACAGGGCGGCTGGGAGACTGCTGCCTTCCCCGGGACTCTCACCTTGCTGATTTTCCTACCCGTCACAGCCCGGATTCTCACATCTGCCTGGCAGATCCCAGTCCTGCCTCAGCTGCCAGCCCCTTTCCCGGGATGGGTGATGTAAGAGCTGCAGGAGAACCAGTCAGGTGGCTTTTGAAAGTGCCTTGCACCACCCACAGCCCGGAGATACAACTGAGCAGCAGTTAAGATGAGGGGGTATGTTAATATATAATTAATGGTAATGATACGGACGATGGTGGGTTATTACAGGGTAGCTGTCAGTGTTAGCAGCATGTGCGTGAGCTCTCGGGAAGTGATTTGCGAGCGGGTCTGTCTAGTCATGTCATTCCTGATGGGTGTGGGGGGAGATAAGCCAGGTCCTGAGCCGAGTCCCCTTCCTCCATGCATGGCACGCCAGGGCAGGGCTCTCCAGGGGTGCTTCAGTGTGTTTAACTGGGGGATGCAGGCGGAAGTCGCGCGTGCAGTGGTGGGAGAGGCTGTGGTTCCGCGCTGCTGTCACATCTCTGAAAGCAGCCGGGTCACCCTGGCCAAGGGGCTCCAGGGGGTGGCTGGGAGCGTGGGTGCCCTGGGGCAGGGCTGGCGGGGCTGTGGAGCGAAGGTGAATGCACCTGCTGCGGCCAGCCGGCCGGGGGCTGCGGGGTGACAGGAGTGGGTTCAAAGCGGCAGAGATGCAGGATGGAACATGCTGGGGGGGGTGGGGGGTACCCACGCGCTTGGATGCTGGGCTCAGCACCGGGATGCTCTCCACCCACAGCTGGGTTGGGAGTTTTGCCCCAAAACAGTTTTTCCCATGCCAAACCAGGTTGGCAAATTGAACCTAAATCAAGGCTGGCATGACGATGTCGGGTGAACGGTGGTTTCTGTGCTGAGACTGCCTGGGACGGGCTTGTGCAGGCTTCTCTCCTGCTTTGCCGGCATCACCGTCTTCCTCTGCCCGTCCAGTGAATGTGTCGATTCCCCCCGAGTTTGGTCAGCTGGTCAATGAGCTAGGTGCTGGGGGGGGATCTTGATCTGGGGGCAGATTTTCTCCTTGGCCACATCCTGATTTATCATAGAATCACAGACTGGTTCGGGTTGGAAGGGACCTTAAAGA